GTGTCATATAATATGTACGGAGTTGATCGGTCCGATGGAAAGACTAGATATACCTACATGTACAAACAATATCACTACAATTATGTACATGTGTGGCGCCGTTATATGTCGCAATGTCGCTAAAATCGCACTCACCGCTAAATGCGCACCATTACCGCTAATTATCGCACTTACCGCTAATCATCGCACCATACCGCTAAATGCGCACCATACCGCTAAATGTAGCAACCGCTTTTAAATATCCCAATGAATTTTGAAACATTATATATGTTCACCAAATTAGGACGACCTGTCATGCAAAACAACCAGACTTCCACGGTTGCCCCACTTGGAGATCTAAGGTCAACATTGTCTGATGGAGGGTACAATTCGTGTCGTTCTTTTGTCCATCAAGGTATTTGAAATAACTTGGCACATATGCTCACTATTTAAGACAACGTGCTTGCGAGACACAGTAACAGTTAACATTGTTTAATGGGGAGTATATTTCTTCTCCAATCCTTAATGTTTTCATCCATGAAGGGATGTGAAATAATATAACACACATACTTATCGTAATCTAAGGTCAACATTGTCTGATGGAGGGTACAATTCGTGTCGTTCTTTTGTCCATCAAGGTATTTGAAATAACTTGGCACATATGCTCACTATTTAAGACAACGTGCTTGCGAGACACAGTAACAGTTAACATTGTTTAATGGGGAGTATATTTCTTCTCCAATCCTTAATGTTTTCATCCATGAAGGGATGTGAAATAATATGACACACATACTTATCGTAATAAGACCACATGACATACACAACACCCAGAATCCTACCTCAAATCAGCAGCAACTTTATGCGGGTCGCATTGTCGTCATCGCACCGTCGTATTGTCGTCATCGCACTATCGTCCTCTGGATTATAAAGTATAACCACGATGGCCCTAACGGTATTCCGTACGCCACACTTGCCCACAATGGATGCCTTATAGGATACTGTTAGGGCCATCGTAGTTATACTTTATAATCCAGAGGGCGACAATACGAAAGTGCGATGACGACAATGCGATAATTGATTTTTTTTTTTAAACGTCTAAATAAAATCATAAATTAATAAAAAGTAACATTATATATCAAAAGGTAGGAGACATACTTAAAAAGTTATATATAACATACACGGAAAATGTGAAACTGTGATAACTTATAAAAACCGAAATGTTTCAGATGAAAATTATGTTATGTTGGCATTTAATAGATGCAAAAATGTTAAAATAATTATTTATTTCTTATATAAAAAGACAAACAAAACATATCCATAAATAAAATTACAAAAATATGTACAACTAGAAATGTGTCTATAGGACACGGATGCCCCCACACGTCACTGTTCTGTCAATCTTATGACTCTAGGTCAAATATTTTTTGGACTACATGTGCCACAAGTTGAAAACTAAAAATCAACAAAGGGCCATAATTCTGTGAAATTTGGTCGCAGCAAAAATTCCTACCTTTACTACCATCTACACATAAGGTTGTTAATCCCTGGAAGTTTAAGCAAAATCTGCCATCCGGTTTAAGAGGAGTTGCGTTCACAAAATTTCTACATAGTATATAATGAAAAAAAACAACAAAGGGCCATAATTCTGTTAAATTTGGTTGCAGCGAAAATTCCTTCCTTTACTGCCATCTACACATAAAGGTTGTTCATCCTTGGAAGTTTAAGCAAAATCTGCCATCCGGTTTAAGAGGAGTTGCATTCACAAAATTTCTATATAGTATATAGTGAAAAAATCAACAAAGGGCCATAATTCTGTAAAATTTGGTCGCAGCGAAAATTCCTTCCTTTACTACCATCTTCACCTTAAGGTTGTTCATCCCTGTAAGTTTAAGCAAAATCTGCCATGCGGTTTAAGAGGAGTTGCGTTCACAAAACTTCTACATAGTATATAGTGAAAAAATCAACAAAGGGCCATAATTCTGTTAAATTTGGTCGCAGCAAAAATTCCTTCCTTTACTACCATCTACACATTAAGGTTGTTCATCCCTGAAAGTTTAAGCAAAATCTGCCATGCGGTTTAAGAGGAGTTGCATTCACAAAATTTCTACATAGTATATAGTGAAAAAATCAACAAAGGGCCATAATTCTGCTAAATTTGGTCGCAGCAAAAATTCCTTCCTTTACTACCATCTACACATCAAGGTTGTTCATCCCTGTAAGTTTAAGCAAAATCTGCCATGCGGTTTAAGAGGAGTTGCGTTCACAAAATTTCTACATAGTATCTAGTGAAAAAATCAACAAAGGGCCATAATTCTGTTAAATTTGGTCACAGCGAAAATTCCTTCCTTTACTACCATCTACACATAAGGTTGTTCATCCCTGTAAGTTTAAGCAAAATGTGCCATCCGGTTTAAGAAGAGTTGCGTTCACAAGATTTCGGGACGTACGGACGGACTGACGGACGGACACTCGGACGGACAAGTGCAACGCTATATGCTCCCACTCTGTGGGGGCATAAAAATAAATTTTTATCTTAACATAACTTTCTCTATATTTTTTATATTAGTGGTCAGCAATTTTTTGGCCAACAGATTCTAATATAACCAACTAATTCTGCTAGTGGGAGTAGTAAACTTATGTTTTACTGATTAATTAAATAATTATATTTATATGGAATCTTTTCTTTTTTTATTTTACACAGACTGTTCAAATTTACATTATCATCATTATCAATTTCAATTAAAAAAATCATTTTTATGTAAATGTTTTTGTAATATGATTAATTGATATATTCTGCTTGCCTTTTTATATAAGTAATAAACATTTTTTTAACATTTTTGCATCTTTTAAATGTCAACACAATATTTTTATCTGAAATCTTCGACTTTATTAAAGGTTCACACAATTAATAACATTTTCCGTGCACTCTTTAAAATTTGCCCTATCTATGGATATAAAATGGTACTTAAGAAATAAAATATCCCAAAAAGTGATTTTATCGCTTAATAAAATTACAATATGGAGTTCGGATGCGAGAAATCATATCACGAGGGCGGCTATTGCATAGTAACACAAACTTTCGGTTCGGTGTGTTTGTTTGTTTTGTTTGTTTTGGGTTTTACGTCACATCGACAAAGTATAGGTCTTTACTGGTGGAGGAAGACCTCAGGTGCCCTTCCGTGCATTATTTCAGGCACGAACGGGCACCTGAGTAGAGCCACCGACGTTCCGTAAGCTAGCTGGATAGCTTCCTCACATGAAAGAATCCAAAGTCCCTGTCCGGATTCGAACCCACAGCGGTGAGGGGCAAGTGGTTTGAAGTCAGCGACCTTAACCACTCGGCCACGGGTTCGGTGTGTTAGTGTGGGGGTTGAATTCTGCCATGTCGTTACTTCTTTCGGGGTGACAGCTAACGAAAAATATAAACTCTCGTTTTGTGGCAATTTAATTATAATTAATACAATGTACTTGACTAAGGGATATCAATCCTAGATAAAGTACATTTTCTTAACAAGTTTATTTTTCATAAATATCATTAAAGTGAAGGCGTGATGTTTTGGTTTAAAACATAAATAATTAAGGTACCCGATGATACTAATCCATTTATGAAATATCGTTGATCTTTTAAACGGGAATAATTTGTAACATGTCACCGACGTTAATAGCTAAATTCAATTTAAAAAAAAAACAACAACGTTTGTTATTTCTAATAAACCAGTTACTACTCAAGTTTTTAATAGAAATGTTCCATCAGGGTTTTTCAAATATTCTATTTGAAAGACCCTGTGTCCATGCCATGGTGTAATGAAATAATAATTAACAATACTCAAAGTAGGTATCAGTGTTTTGTTACCATACATATTTAATAATGTTTCGTTACTTGCTAACCTAGCATCGATAATAAAAATGCTAAACACGGTCCTACGAATGTTTAATGAAAACGCATTATAATATAACCATCGTGCCAGCGTACCGTCGTGATTTTTTATCATGGGATTCATTACCTAACCATTGCATTTTCAACACCACGCTTCCATCGTCTTGCTTGGGTCACATTCGATTAAGATACTCGTCTAACAGAATACGGTATTGTTCTCAATAATAAATAATAACACAGGGCTCTACAATTTTTTCTTGACAGAGTTGTCCAGGACAACTTACTTGGCAAAATAGAGTTGTCCCAAAATTTATCACAGATGTCCAAGTCTCAAGTGAAAAACATTCAATAATGTTAGTTAGTGGTGTGCATATAATAATGTACAGGAATAACAAGTTTAGTTCCCACGGCCAAAAAAATCCTTATTTTTAGAAGCTTTTAAAGGCCGAATACTGGCTGCTTCCCCAACCAAACTTGCGTCTTCTTTCTCCAGATCGGTCCTAAAAATTCCCCAATCTCTTGAAAATTTCAAATAGAATTCACATCACACTTTAGGATCAAACGCAATGTTTGGTCAAAATCGAGAAATTGATCCCCAAAGTGTGTTAATACGCTACATATCAATGCATTTTGGGTTCCTGATTTCTGAAGTTGTCATCTGAGCTCTGCTTAAATACCGAGTACTGACTTATCAATAATTTTTGATCTGCGACATTGAAATATTTAAGGTGAGGTTCAAAATGACAGTCGATACCCATATACATCACTGTGTAATTTTACTAAGCGTCATTATAAAAATGATGTAAATGTTTTATTAATGTAATCACTTGAAACATTAAAATTATCGTTACCTTAGAGGCGCTTCAATAAAAAATGATTCTTTTGCACTTTAAACAGTTTTTATTTTGGATATGTGATAAATAGAATATTATATTCGTGTATGGTCATTACTTAATTTATTGAACTCACCAGAGGCTCGCATAATAAAATTTTATTCAACTCGATCATAAATTCAGTATTGAACGTACTCCTATTCAATATCCTCTATTTATTAAATACGTGGCGAGTACGGTCACTCTTGACAATGTGATTGTATTACACAGCTCAAGTTAAAGCCATTGTGGGTTGACTTTTGTGTTTACAGAATGCGGACCACTAGCTGATATAGCACATGGAACAGTGTCAGCAGCATCGACAACACATGGCAGCACAGCAACTTACTCGTGCCAATATGGGTATGAACGCACCTCGGGAGATATAACAAGAAATTGTGTTGACGGGACATGGGATGGCATTGAAATGACCTGCACTATTAAAGGTGATATGTCCCGAATAACTCTATTACCCAACTTCCAAAAAAAACACAAAAACATCCAAGCATGTTTTTTTTCATTCGACATCTTTTCAATACGAAGGTTTTTGTTATATAGACGGATCACTCTACCAGACAATGATTAAAACGTTATATTGCTCTGAATCTTTGAGAGTTATATTAAATTTAATCTGGATCATTACCAATCATATGACCATTTATACTAATGTGTTTATGTGGCCATTAATATTGCAAAAGATTTGACAACTATTCGTTTATTTATACTGCCTAGCCTGTGGTAAATAGTAAATGATGACTTAATCTCTGGAGAGTCTCGGGAGCACCATATGACCATTTGTTATATATCATATATCAAGTCGTCCACTTATATGAAACTGAAGTGTTTGAACAATTATCACCGTTAAATCATCAAATATGAATAAGATTGTACTATAAAATCAAAAATAACTCTAACAATTTCGTCTTACCCAAACTATTGATTCGCGGAAACTAGTGACAATAATTACGTTGACGGCAATATCTAAATCCAGCTAGAAGTACGAGCTGGTTTAACTCATTCAAGTTATACTGTCGAAGAAGTTATACGCTATTTATAACCTCTAAACAACAGTTACTCACACATAATTGGAATTCCTTGACGAAACATGTTTTGTTTACTTTTATGAAGAAGTTTCCAGCGGAAATGAGTTCCGTTCAAAAACCAAACGATAAATTATAAACGGAAAGTTTTTAACTACAGAAAAGTACCAATAAACAGCATTTATCTGCTGTATTTAAAACAATGTCTCTTATATTTCTATTCATTGTGAAACTATTGTAAACTCTAAACAACGGATTACAGCGGAGCTATTTTATTTAAGCGGCGTAGACAGACAGTGAGTTATTTGGAGACTGAATACTTGTGATTGGCTAGCGGAATCCGCTATGCGTTTTCATTGGTCGACGCCTTATTCAAATGTTTTGGACTGGTACTTTTTACCCGCTGTTATCAAGGCGCCAAAGTATATAAATACAGGCGCGAACATTCAATGTCAGCTTCCCAACCGCTGAGCGGAAAACCTTTCGTTATGTTGTAAACAAGTAGAATCCGCTGAAATAATTATATTGCTTTGGTAAAACATTATATTGAGTTATATTCCGCTGATGAAATGAATCTTTGATTGTTACAAATATAAATCCGCTGATATTTTGTTATTACTTTGTAATTCCGCTGGAGCGAATTCCGTTGAACTGAAATCCGCTGAACTGAAATGAACTGAGTTGTACCGTTGAACTGAAATGAACTGAGTTTTACAGATTCTTGGACACACTAAACCCACCTTGTATCATATACATATAAAGTCTTACGAACATACATTAACAATTAATTGAAGCATATACATTAAGTTTGTTCCATTGCATTTATTTATTTGTTTATCAAAAATAAACACCACTTTAAGTTAAAAACCGTGTTCTTCCGTATATATCTAATTCCGTCTATATATCGTATACTAAAGTTTAGGGTTCCTGCTTCTTGACCCGGCCCTTTCCTGACAGTATTTATAATACTGAGTCTAAGATGACAAGTTTATGACCATTTATATTGCCGAGTTTTGACAAAACTATGTGACCGTTATTGCTGCCGGATTTGTGGTAAATTATTCTACTTAATCTGTGCAGAGAAATATATGACCATATAGAACACCGAGTCTATGGAGAGAAATACATTACCATGTAGAACACCGAGTCTGTGGAGAGAAATATAACACCGAGTCTGTGGAGAGAAATATATGACCATATAGAACACCGAGTCTGTGGAAAGAAATATAACACTGAGTTTGTGGAGAGAAATATATGACCACATAGAGAACCGAGTCTGTGGAAAATATATAACACTGAGTCTGTGGAGAGAAATATATGACCATGCAGGACACCGAGTCTGTAGAGGGAAATTTAACACTGAGTCTGTGGAGAGAAATATATGACCTTGTAGAACACCGAGTCTGTAGAGAGAAATATAACACTGAGTCTGTGGAGAGAAATATATGACCATGCAGAAAACCGAGTCTGTAGAGAGAAATTTAACACCGATTCCGAGGGAGAGACTTGATATACGTTCATGTTCTAACAGTATTACTATAATATGTACATGAACTAAATACGTATATCGTTTAACCCTTAAAGAATAAAAATTTCAAATAGGAAAAGGATAAAAGCCCAAAGCCCTCTTGGATATACAAACTTCTTATTCAAAAGCAAATAAGAAAATATAAACTAATTGTGAGTACGAATTGATAGATTATCATTTCTTTAAAGCGGGTATATATAATATAATTACATGTTTATAATACCTAGATATATTAAAAACATGGCAAGTACGGTAACTATTGACAATGTGATTGTATAACACAGCTCAAGTTAAAGCCATTGTGGGTTGACTTTTGTGTTTACAGATTGCGGACCACTAGTTGATATAGCACATGGAACAGTGTCAGCAGCATCGACAACACACGGAAGCACAGCAACTTACGCGTGCCAGTATGGGTATGAACGCACCTCGGGAGATATAACAAGAAATTGTGTTGACGGGACATGGGATGGCATTGAAATGACCTGCACAATTAAAGGTGAGGAAATGACCTGCACAATTAAAGGTGATATGTCCCAAATACCTCTATTTCCCAACTTCCGCAAAAACAAAAACCACCCAAACATGTTTTTTTTTCAACGATGGTTTTTGTTATATAGAAGGACAAGTTAACCAGACAGTGATTAAAAAGTTATACTGTTCTGTATCTTTGAGAATTATATAACCTTAATTTAATCTGGATCATACGGAAGAGCATTAGTGCCAGGTGTATGTTTTTTATTAACTCGAAAATTCGAGTTACTAACTCGAAATTTCGACTTACTAACACGAAACTTCGAGTTACTTATCTCGAAATTTCGAGTTACTATCTCGAAATTTCGACTTAGTAACTCGAAATTTCGACTTAGTAACTCGTAATTTCGACTAACATTGCACGACTTTCATTGGTTGCCGGTCAAAGCAAGGATTGAATTCAAGATACTTTCTTACGTGTGTAGTTGTTGCACATTGACAGAGCACCTTTAACATTTATTTAACAGAACAATTTTATACGGTCAAATTGTCCACACATACTGAACATATCCTTCGCTTTTTTTGTGGAAGGGGGGGGGGGGAGGTATGTAAAATCACACTTTCCACATTTCCGTGCTAACAGGGTGTTTCTTTTTCTTAAGCACACATACAACAATCATATGGAGAAACAACAAGTCCAAAACACACCCATCATGTGTTAAATAAGTTTTAAATGACGTGTATAGACAAGTTTGTCTGTCACGTTTCTTTATACTAATAATGTTTTTGTAACATTATCATTATTTACCAATACTTTGATTCATATTGTGTTGATAAAAGTTGATAAAAGTGATACTTGTTATAATATATATGTTGGGAACAATATAAAAGCATGCGATTTTACAAGAAATATAGTCAGTCCAACAATTTTGACAAAGGCCTCAGCACGCCCTATTTTGGCCACGCCGCGATACTTTCCTCAGATGTCCCACACGTAAAGTATAGGACCGTTTTTTTACAGGGATGAGAAGAATATGATTAGTGAAAAGATATGTTCGAACAGATGGGATACAATACATCGTCTGAAGAACGCCTGAACGTACAAATTAAAGGAAGCCTTGTATTTTTTATGTCGGCTATTACTAAGTTTAAGTTAAATTTCAATAGTTTTTGTCCAGGCACCCGTTTCTCTATCTCCATCGTTCAAAGGCACTGCCTACTATATCTTATACCATCTAAAATAACTTTGGTCATTCTTGAAATGTTAATAAGTCGAAATTTCGAGTTACTAAGTCGAAATTTCGAGATAAGTTACTTGAAATTTCGAGTTAGTAAGTCGAAATTTCGAGTTAGTAAGTCGAAATTTCGGGTTAGGAAGTCGAAATTTCGAGTTAGTAAGTCGAAATTTCGAGTAAGTAACTCGAAATTTCGAGATAAGTAACTCGAAATTTCGACTTAGTAACTCGAAATTTCGAGTTAATAAAAAACATACACCTGGCACTAATGCTCTTCCGTAGGATCATTAGCAACCAGATGACTATTAATACTAATGTGTTTTATATGGCTATCAATACTGCGGAACCTTTGACAACAAGAGTCAATACGATCATTTTTTTTCCTAGCCTATGGTAAATAGTAATGACGATTTAATCTATGAAGAGAAATGTAGGACCATTTATACTGCCAAGTCTCGGAAGAACTTTATGACCATTTACAATTCTGAGTCTAAGGTGACAACTATATGACCATTTATTATAATTCTGCCGAGTTTTGACTAAACTATGTGACCTTTATTGCTGCCGGTTTTTATCATGATCATTTAAAGATACTGAGTTTGTGCAGAGAAATATATGACAATTTATCATAATATCGTATACAATTATCAGCACTAAAAGTATTTCTTAACACCATTATTTACATCTACAAATACATTCAACTTACTCAGGAATGAATTAAATCTTTGTGGTGACAATTTGACAGTGAAGTCGGCATTTTGGTGTCGGTAAATTTTACAAGTGTGAAAAGTACAATCAAAGGTATCAGACTGCAATAAATATCCAACAGTACCTATTCGGGACACCTATCCTAAATGTGTAATAACTCTCCTATTGTTTACTTAATTGTGTATAAATGAAGAATTATAAATTGCGGATCATTTAATTTAACTTTTGTGACGTAAAACGTCCGCAGCTCTATCCGTGAATCTGATTGGTTCGTAACATAATATTGTTTCCCTTGTTTAAAAAACAAAACAACAACAACAACAAAAAAAACCCTGAGTTTTTCTAAAAACGTGTCTGTTATCATAGCCCAAGGAGCACGCAACCGGTAACTTAGGTTATCAGCGGAATTTTGATAATTAGATTACATTTTTTTCTGATGAATTGCACTATTTTTGGCAATTTCCGTCCTCCTTGTTTAATTTATACACAATACACCTTCTTTTCTTCTTATTTCTTTAAAAAGCACTTCCTTTCCGTGGACTGGTTTCTTTCTATGGTAAATTTAGGAAAATTGTATGGGGGCAGCGGAATAAGGGTAAACAGAACAAATCCGTAAGAGTTATTAGAAAAAGACTATGCAACTTTTGTGTATTTTATGTTACATTTTGGTTAAACTTGTGTAACACCCTATTTTCTAACAGATTGCGGAGGTCTTCCTACCATATCTCATGGATCTGTCAGTGTTCCATATACGACACACGGAGCAACGGCCACGTACTCCTGTGATTCCAAATGTAGTATAACATCCGGGCACTCTTCAAGAACCTGTGATAATGGCGTCTGGACCGGAAGTGCAGCTGTTTGTACTTTAATACGTAAATATTTTTGATCTTTTTATTCTTTTTATATTATAATAACCTTGTATGGTTATCCAAAGTAAAAGTTGGAGTTATGGGACCTTGTTTTAGATAGCAGTGCTTTTTCTCTTGAATACATAAACATATTGTGATCCTTATTGATATTTATAGTTAGAATTAATACTTGTCGAGTAGTCATGATTGCTAATTTCTCATCACTTGCGTGGGACCAAATTTCATCAAGGACATTGCATTCTTTCCTGGGAGGAGACTCTAGCTGGCTAACAGAATGTCGATGGATCTATTTGTGTGCCCGCTTGAAAATTGATGCTTTCCAGTGTTATCAAAGAAATAAATCTACTTTATGCACATATAAACAATCGAGGAGGGAAGAGGTGGCGTGGGGATGCACGTACCGCTTTCAGGTTCCCTCGACACCCAGCACATTTTGCTCTAAATCACAAGTCAAGTTATCACAAGTCAAGATGGTAGATATACATTTTTGCACCAGTCCGTCAGTAATTGCGACTTAATCGTCTGCAGCGGTTTTTGTTTATCTGATTATCATGTATATAAGTTACCAGGCAAACTATGTCATTAGTTATCTTTCTTCAAATTGAATTATCTATCTTAATTAACTTTTAAATTCCAATTTTTTCGAAATTAAATGGTTAACCTTAAGTCTATTTATTGTCAGCAACACATTCCCACCATGCAACCAGTGCAAATCAATACCAACTGACGGATCCGCGTCGTCTCATAATGGTCTGCACTGTCCGCTTTTCAGTTTGTACGTATTTTGAATATTTCAAAAATAATGATGAATTGTTTTTTCGAGACTGAAAGGCGGACACGTCTAAATGTAAGACATTTGGTAATGGTTTAATTATCCGTTCTGTTTTCTTAAAATATCGTTCAAAAACAATGTTTCCATCAAATAAATTCTATTTTTAGCACACATAGGATGCTACGTCGGTGGGCAGTCATCACTGTACTATGGGGATACACAATCTACAGTTGGCAATCTTAACTGTCAGAGATGGGATGTTCAGTCTCCACATACACATGACATGACTGCCACAGGACTTCCAGAAGCAAGTCTCACTGATGCCAAGAGTTTTTGTCGAGACCCCGATCTAGCAGGCGCCCCCTGGTGTTATACAATGGATCCAAATACAAGATGGGATTATTGCGGCGTTCCCCTGTGTTGAAGTTTTTTTTTCGGCCGAAAGCCGGTCTAAAATCAGTCTGACTTCCTGTAAAATTTACGGGGAAGATCTGAATGTAAGAAGAGTTTTCATTGGTTTAAAATAAGAAAATGAAATTTAGGAATCTCATTGGTCATTCTAAAATAAAAAGTAAAGGATAGTTCTTGTCATTTTAAGATAGTTCTGAACTAAAATGAAAAGGATAGTTTTTGCCATAATAAAATCAAATTGTAGGGATAGTTCTAAAATAAAATGTACAGGATAGTTCTTAAACTTTCTATTTAAATTGCTCGAATATTTAAGTTCTGTTTAACAATACTTCCTCCCACGAAACATTTTACACTGCATTCAGATCTCAATACATTTTCTTGTGAACAATTTATTTTATTTGTAAGAACTTACTGAGTTTAATTTACACAAGATCTGAGTTTTAAATTTCGTCCAAAATAACTAGAATAATATCAGAAATTATCAGATACCCAAGATTTATTATGTTCAATAAGTGTTTGATATATGATATGATTATTGATGTGTTAAATTGACATAATGTTTATAATTTTCATATATTTTTGCATTTAATCAAGTATTCATTGTCTCTCAAATATCGACCTGTGTCGTTCGACGCATTACTCACCCCAAGTGAGGGTTAAAGTGACTCCGACATAAAGAAGTCCGCGCAGGGATGACGATTTTATTTTATAAAACACAATATATCTTTTCAAGTGTTTAAAATTGTTTATTGCTTCAAAGGGATCACTGTTTTCCAGATTTTATTATTGATAGTTCGATATTGCAATTGATAGTTGGACGGTGTTACTATTTATTATTATTATTTATTATTATTATTATTATTACTATTCAAATATTCAAAACTACTTTCGGTTTTAAACTAACAATGAACGAACTACTATCACGCGTGTTGAACGAAATTGGGTATGTAAAACCACTAAAGGATTGTCAGAAAGAGTGTTTGATGCATGTTTTGAGTAAAAATGATGTAATAGCTATTTTGCCAACAGGGTATGGAAAAAGTTTATTTTTTTGCCCCATTTGCGTTTTGTTCTATCACTTCCGTGTTCAAACCGCCATGTTAAAAGTAGTTCGTTCCCATGATGCTTAGAGTAGTTTCACACAGGTCAGTAAGACCGGTGTACACAATGATCAAGTATTTATAAAAATAATCACCGACTGCGAAGATGATGGTGTTAGAAATTGAATTTACTTACTGAAATATGACAGGTTCGTGTTCCATTTTTAAGACTAATAACCTTACAAGAAATTATTAATTTATTATGTCATTGTAATACAAGCTATGCTAAATTTCTATTTGACTTTGCATAAGTAAACCAGTTTTACTTCGACCGAGTATCTTTCTTTAAAGATACTCTACATGAAGAAGACTTTGTTTCATTAATATTTTATTAAAGTTATTATAATGGAACAAGACTTACAGTTTTATTTTTGCTTTTCTTCTAAAGAAATAAAAATGATTTGGCAGTCTGAAAAGTGTAGTATAAATGATCAGATGCAGTTGAAATTAGTTTTAGACTGTTCCCTCATTAACTTAGAATTATACGAATCAGAAAAAAAGAATAAAACAAAAATACTTCATAAACAAAACACTTCATGGTAAATGTCTACATTATGTGTGCAAATTAACATTTGTTACAATTCAAGTAAATATTTAACAAACTAAGCGCTTGATAATGAACATTTGTGACACCATAAATAATAATGGATCAAGATTAGAAAAGAACGCATTTAATTATGGCAACTAAGCATTGCGCAAATGTATATTCAGTGATGTTTATCTTCCGGAAATAAATCTGTAATATTCGAAAGTTTCCGTCGATGATGTACATTTTCGAAAAAGTCAGCATATGTTGGTATTCGTGTAAATAGTCTTGTAATGGCCTTTCGTATATTTTTTATTAAGCATGTGACTTTTTCTTTATTTCTTCATATTATTCTAAGACAAAAATAGTTTTAACTGTATTTCATTGTCGCATATGGAATTACTAGGAGAAAACTTCAAATAACTTCATTTCAGTTAAGTTTAATTTATATTGAATTGTTTATTTATAATTCAAGCTAGTAGTTCTTAACGGAAAGCTAGGCCCGGTTCTAGCCTCAGGGAAAAAATCAAGTGGATTAAACCCACGGTGAAAGGCCTTTCTAGTAGTTCTTATCTAAAAACAAAACTCAGTTCTAGCCTCAACGAATACAGTCAAACTGACCAAACCAACGGTGATAGTCATTTCTATTAGTTCTTAATTGAAATGCAAACCCGCATCTTGCCCCAGGGAATAGAGTCAAGCTGACCAAACCCACGGTGATATGACTTTCATGTAGTTCTTAACCGGTTTAAGCTCAGTGAATACAGTTTAGCTGACAAAACCCACGGTGAGAGGTCTTTCTAGTAGTTTTTAAGCGAAATTTTCGAGTAGTACTTAACGGAAATTCAAACCCGGGTTTAACCTCAGGGAATACAGTCAATCTGAACAAACCCACGGTGATAGGCCTTTCTGGTAGTTCTTAAAGGAAAATCAAACTCGATCCTGGCCTCATGAAATAAAGTCAAGCTGATTACACCCTCGGTGATATGCCTTTCTAGAAGTTCTTATCGGAAAACCAGACCACGTTCTAGCCTCAGAGAAAACAATCAAGCGGTCAAAACTCACGGTGACAGGCATTTCTAGAAATAATTTATTGAAGACAAAACTCGAATACAGGCAAACTGACCAAATCCACGGTTATATGCCTTCTTATAGTTCTTAATGGAAATGCAAATTCAGTTCGTGTCTCAAGGAATATAGTCAAGCTGACCAAACCCAAGGTGATAGACCTTTCTAGTATGTAGTTCTTAACGGAAAACCAAGTCCGATTCTAGCCACAGCGAATACAGTCAATCAGAACTAACCCACGGTGATAGGCCTTACTTGTAGTCCTTAACGGAAATTTAAACCGGGTTCTAGCCTCAGAAAATACAGTCAAGCTGATTACATTCTCGGTGATAGGCCTTTTTACCAGTTTTTTTACTTGTTCTGGTAGCATTTAACGAAAAACCATGCCCGTTTCCAACCTCAGAGAATACAGTCAAACTAACCAAACGCACGGTGATAGGCCTTTCAAGTTTTTCTTAACTGAAATGCAAAACGGCAAGAAGATTTTCAAGTAGGTCTTATCGGACATTTAAACCTTCTGGAACACAGTAAGACTGACCAAACCCCTTAAGCCTTTCTGGTTGTTTTTAACGTAATTTCAAATCTGGTTTTAGCCTTAGAAAATACAGTCAGTCTGACTAAACCCGCGGTGATAGGCCTCTCTAATAGTTCTTATCGGAAATTCTAAACCGGTTTTAGCCTCAGTGAATACATAAAAGCTTTTGAAAATCACGGCAAGAAGATTTTCAAGTAGTTCTTAACGGATATTTAACCTTATTGAATACAGTTAGACTGACCTAAGCCTTTCTGGTAGTTTTTAACGGAATTTCAAACCCGGTTTAAGCCTTAGGAAATACAGTTAGGCTGACCAAACCCGCGGTGATAGGCCTCTCTGATAGTTCTTAATGGAAATTTAAACCCGGTTCTAGCCTCAGGAGATACAGTCAAACTCATTATACCTTCGGTGATACGCCTCTCCAAGCCGGTTGAATATACAATCAAGCTGGCCAAACACACGGTGACATGTCTTTCTAGTAATTCGTTATTGACTAAACTCGGTTCTTGACTAAGTGAATACAGACAAACTGACCAAACTCACGGTGATAGGTTATCTAATAAATCTTAATGGAAATGCAAATCCAGTGTTTGCCCCAAGGAACAGAGTCAAACTGACCAAACCCACGATGCTAGCACTTTCTAGAAGTTCTTATCGGGAAACCAAGTCATATTCTTGCCTAAAGGAATACATGTATATTCAAGCGGAACAATCCCACGGTGGAAGGCCTTTCTGGTAGTCCTTAACGGAAATTTAAACCCAGTTCTAGCCTCAGGGAATACAGTCAAGCGGACCAAACCCACGGTGATAGGCCTTTTGCGTAGTTCTAAACGGTAAAACAGGCCCTGCTCTTACTTCAGGGAATACAATCAAGCGGACATGTTTTTAGTAGTTCTTAACTGAAAACAAAATTTGGTTTTAGCCTCAGCGAATACAATCAAACTGACCCATCCCACGGTGAGAGGCCTTTCTAGTAGTTATTTATGGAAATACAAAACTGGTTCTCTCCTCAGGGAAAACAGTCATACTGACCAAGTCCACAATGATAAGCCTTTCTAGTAGTTGATAACAGAAAACCAGGCCCCATTGAAGACTCAAAGAAAACAGTAAAACGGAACAAACACACGGTGATAGGCCTTTGACTAGTTCTTGGCAGAAATTATAAACCTGTTTAAGGCTTAGTGAATACATTTTAAAAGCTGAGGAAATCCACGTTAAAAGTCTTTTCTAGTAGGTCGGAACAGAAATTGAAACCCCTGTCTAGCCTCATGGAATACAGTAATGCTGACAAAACCCATATGTTATGCCTTTCTGGTAGTTCTTAACGGAAATTTAAGGTCGGTTGTAGTCTTAGAAAATACAGTCAAGCTGATTACAACCTTGGTCATACGCTTTTCTAGTAGTTCTTAACGGAAAACCAACCCCCGCTCTAGCCTCAGAGAATACATTCAAACGGACCAATTCGACGGTGACATGCCTTTCTAGTACTAGTATTTAGTTTTGTTGAAAACAAAACTCGGTTCTAGCCTCAGCAAATACAGTCAAACTGACCAAACCCACGATGATAGGCATTTCTGGTAGTTCTAAAGGGACAATCAAACCCGGTTCTAGCCTCAGGAAATACAGTCATCTGGTGATACGCCTTTCTAATAGTTCTTAACAGAAAACCAGGCCCGGTTCTAGCCTGACTAAATACAAGCAAGCAAACGAAACCAACGGTGAAAGGCTTTTCTAGTAGTTCTTTATTGAAAACAAGACTCGGTTCTAGCCTCAGGGAATACAGTCAAACTGACTTAACCCACGATGATAGATATTTCTGGTAGTTCTAAAGGGAAAATCAATCTCGGTTCTAGCCTCAGGAAATACAGTCATTTGGTGATACGCTTTTCTAGTAGTTCTTAAAAGAAAAAAAAACAGGCCCGGTTCTAGCCTCAGGGATAACAATAAAGCGGACCATGGTATTGTGCCTTTCTAGTAGCTCGTTATTGATAAAAAACTCGGTTCTAGCCTCATCAAATACAGTGAAACTGATCAAACCCCCGGTTATAGGGCTTTCTAGTAGTTCTTCATGGAAATGCAAATCTAGTTCTTGCCTCAAGGAATACAGTCAGGCTGACCAAACCCAAGGTGATAGGCCTTTTTAGTAAATCTAAACGGAAACAAAGTCCGATCCTAGCCTTAGGGGATATAGTCAAGCGGAACAAGACCTTTTTAGTAGTTCATAACGGAAATATCAACTGGTTGTTGCTTCTTGGAATACAGTCAAGCAGACCAAACACACGGTGATAGGCCTTTCTAATAGTTTTTAACAGAAAAGCAAGCCTGATTGGAGCCTTTGGGAATACACTCAAGCTGACCAAACCCACAGTGATAGGCATTTCTATTGTTTTTAGGGGAAAAACCAAGCCCAAAAACAATCAAGCGAAAAAAGGTGATAAGATTTTGTATTATTTTAAAAAGAAATTTTAAAGCCGTTTCTACCTCGGGGAGTGCACATCACGCGGACCAAACCGACGGTGATAACCTTTCTAGAAATTTTAAACGGAAACAAAAAACCCGGTTCTAGCTTAAAAATCAGTAACTTATTACCCCTAAAAGGTTGCCTTTCTGTTAGTTCTTAACTGAAAAACTACCCGGTTTTTGTCAAAGGAAATAATAGTCCCTTTACAGAAAATTCTTTACCTTTTTTACCCACTGTTGGCTGCGAAACCCCGATGAGAACCTTTTCTAGCAGTTCTTAAGGGAAAACCTAGGCTTGCCTCATGAATACAGAAATGCCCCAAAACTAAGGGATGGGCCCTTTTTGGGTATTAAAGGGAAATTCAAACACGGTTTTAGCCTCAGGGAATAAAGTCAAGGTGAAGAAACCCACGGTGATATGCCCTTCTGGTAGTTCTTAACGGAAATTAAAACCGGTTTCTAGTATATGCCTTTCTAGTGTTTCTTTATTGAAAACAAAACTCGGTTCTTGCCTCAGGGACATCAATCAAGCTCTCCAAAACCATGGTGGTAGGCCTTTCAGGTAAATCAAACAAAAAACTAAGTCCGACTCTAGCCTCAAGGAATACAGTCAAACTGATCAAACCTACGGTTATGGGTCTTTCTGGTAGTTCTTAAATGAAATTTCAACCCGGTTCTAGCCTCAGGCGATACAGTTTAGCGGACTAAACCCACAGTTACAGGCCTTCTAGTGATTCGTAACGGAATACAAAACTCGGTTCAAGCCTCGGTGAATACCATAAAACGAACCAAAGCCATGGTGATAAGAATTTCTATTGTTTCTTAATGCAAATGCAAATCCGGTTTTTGCCTCAGGGAATACAGTCTTACAAAACCAACCGTGATAGACCTTACTAGTAGTTCTTACCATGTCCGATTATAGCCTCAGGGAATACAGTCAACTGACAAAACCCACAATAACAGGCCTTTCTAGTGGATTTTAACGGGAAACCAAGCGCCGTTCTAGCCTCAGGGAAGACAGTCATGCTGATAAAACCCACAGTGATAGTCCTTTTAAGTATTTCTTAACGGAAATTCAAAATTCCACAGCCTTTTTTGTTGTTCTTAACGGAAAATTAGGCCCGTTTCTAGCCTCAGGGAAGCAATTAAGCTGACCAAAACCCATGGTGATAGACCTTTCTAGTAGTTCTTAATGGGAAATCAACAATCTGGAAACAAAGTGATCCCTCAGAAGCATTAATCACAACAAAATTACATGACAATTGCAGACTCGGTATAATTGAGTCTGTACATTAAGGATAAAGAATGAGTGCAAACCCGGTTGCAGCATCAGGGATACAGTCAAGCCTACCAAACCCACGATGGTGTGCCTTTTTAGTTCTTCATATCGGAAATTAAAACCCGGTTTAAGCCTCAGGGAATTCAGCCAAGATGACCACTCCACGGTTATAGGCCTTTCTTGTAGTTCTTAACGGAAACTCCAAATCAAGCTTTAGCCTCGGGGAATACAGTCAAGCTGACAAAACTCACGTGATAGACCTTTCTAGTAGTTCTTGACATAAAAGCCTAGCCTCAGGGAATACAGTTAAGCTGACAAATTCCACGGTGATAGACCTTTCTACATGTATTAGTTCTTAACGGAAATTCTACCCCCGATCTTGCCCCAGGGAATACAGTCAAGCTCACCAAATCCACGGTAAAACACCTTTCTAGTAATTCTTGACTTCAAATCAAGCCCGATTCTAGTCTCAGTGAATAAAGTAAAACCTAGGGCTATAGGCCTTTTAGAGGGTTCTAATCGCACTTAAACTCAAGGTGTTAGTCTCAGGGAATGCAGTTAACCTTACAAAACCCATGGTGATTGACCTTTTTGAGAGCTGTTGTGGCAAGTAAACCCACAGTGAAAGCCTGAAGTAAAGCCATGATAATAGGCCTTCCTTCTAGAGGAAATGCAGTAAAGCTAACACAGCCCACGGTGATATGCCTTTTTAGAGAGCTCTTATGACAAATAAGCCCATGGTGATAGCCCGACGAAATGCAGAAAAGCTCCACAACACATCCTTTTACACCATATTTTCCGAAATGAAAAAAAAAAAAAATTAAAAACTTTTATAAAATATATCGTAGCACATATAGGCTGTTACGTTGGTGATATACAATAAAAAGTTTGAAATCTTTACTGCTAGATGTGGGATGTTCAGACTCATCATGTGCATGATCAAACTGCCATACATATGCTCGAAACACGGAGTTTTAGTCGAGACGACGATTTAATTGGCACCCAAACCACCGCTCGGTTCTATAAAATTGATGGGATATCAGCTGCGTTTCCCTAAATTGATGTTGTTTTTTTTTACAATTATTGTGAAGAAAAACAGAGTTTAGTTAATATTTTCTTAATTTTTTATGCTCCCCGAAAATTTCGGGGGAGCATATAGTCGGCGCCCTGTCCGTCTGTCCGTCCGTCCGTCTGTCCGTCCGTTGTCTTGTCCGGAGCATAACTTGAAAACCCTTGGAGATAATTTATTGAAACTTCATACAGTGGTAGAGGGCATCAAGGGGGAGTGCAGTGTCAAAGAACCATAACTCTATTTTGCCCGGTTTTTGAATTATCTCCCCTTATAGAAAAATCTTGTCCGGGGCATTACTCTAAAACTATAAGAGATATCAACATGAAACTTTGTAGGTAAATAGATCTCAATGGGTAGATGTGCAGTGCATAAGAACAATAACTCTTTTCATCCTAATTTTGGAGTTATTGCCCTTTGTTAATTTTAATACTTTGAACTTTGTCCGGAACATAACTTGAAAACCCTTGGAGATAATTTATTGAAACTTCATACAGTGGTAGAGGGCATCAAGGGGGAGTGCAGTGTCAAAGAACCATAACTCTATTTTGCCCGGTTTTTGAATTATCTCCCCTTATAGAAAAATATTGTCCGGGGCATAACTCTAAAACTATAAGAGATATCAACATGAAACTTTGTAGGTAAATAGATCTCAATGGGTAGATGTGCAGTGCATAAGAAAAATAACTCTTTTCATCCTAATTTTGGAGTTATTGCCCTTTGTTAATTTTAATACTTTGAACTTTGTCCGGAACATAACTTGAAAACCCTTGGAGATAATTTGTTGAAACTTCATACAGTGGTAGAGGGCATCGAGGGGGAGTGCAGTGTCAAAGAACCATAACTCTATTGTGCCCGGTTTTTGAATTATTTCCCCTTATAGAAAAGTCTTGTCCGGGGCATAACTCTAAATCTATAAGAGATATCAACATGAAACTTTGTAGGTGAATAGATCTCAATGCGTAGATGTGCAGTGCATGAGAACAATAACTCTTTTTGTCCTAACTTTGGAGTTATTGCCCTTTGTTTATTTTAATACTTTGAACTTGAACTTTGTCCGGAACATAACTTAAAAACCCTTGGAGATAATTTGTTGAAACTTCATACAGTGGTAGAGGACAACGAGGGGGAGTGCAGTGTTAAAGAACCATAACTCTATTTTGCCTGGTTTTTGAATTATCTCCCCTTATAGAAAAATCTTGTCCGGGGCATAACTCTAAAACTATAAGAGATATCAACATGAAACATTGTAGGTAGATAGATCTCATTGAGTAGAGGTGCAGTGCAAAAGAACCATAACTCTGTTAAGCCTTATTTTTTAATAATCTCCCCTTTTAGAAAAATCTTGTCCAGGACATAGCTGTAAAACTATAAGAGATATCAACATGAAACTTTGTAGGTAGATAAATCTCAATGGGTAGATGTGCAGTGCACAAGAATCATAACTCTACCTTGCCTAATTCTGGAGTTATTGCCAAGTTTGTTTATTTTTACTTTTTGAATTGTCCAGGACATAACTCGGAAATCATAAGAGATATCATCGAGAAACTTTGTAGGTTGATAGATCACATTGATTAGAAGTGCAGTGCAAAGAACTGTAACTCTCCCTTGCCTTGTTTTGGAATTATTGCACTTTGAACTATTCCACGGACATAACTCTGAAACTACAAGAGGTTTACTTTCCTGTGCCCAAAACCTATTCGGGGAGCATCACCCGGCTCAGACCGGGCTCTTGTTTTTTAATGGAACGGGAATCACAGTTTTGTTTCTGTTAGAATTCAAGTAAATATTTAAGATTAGTACATGGCCCCCTAAGCACTTTGTTGAAATAATACAAGTACATGCATTCTGGTAATTCAAGTGCAAATATAAATCATCAGACCTTATTTTCTCAGTATTAACAAAATGTACTATGTTTCATTCTTAATTGACCAAGTAGTCATACATGATCATTTAACTGTGTTTTGGATTGGGTTTTGACATTATATAATTACATTCAACTCGTTAAATAAATTTGGTAATAAAACTACACTCATTCAATATATTCTATGCATGTGTACACAATATAAAATGGCTGTTCAAATGAAGATTTTCCGATTTACCGGTGCCATATGCTATATAATCATATAAGAATCTGACATTCGTTGACATTTTATTTAGATTTACAAAACCTTGTCACGGAATATGTGTTAAGCCTGCAGATGACACTTTCCTAGATTTTCATATACATTTGTCTCAATTTTAATGAAAATTTAGCACAATTCCATCGAGAGAAAAAAAAATGATTACGAAAATCAAATCGTAGACTGTATTTATTGAATGTGTCCATTAATGACTTTAGAAAGTGCAAGATCTGTAATGCCCCGAAGAATTGGCTTAAGCAATATTCAATTTCCAGTATTAAGCAGTATTCAGTTTCAAACACCAAAAGTAAACGAGTCAGTGATTTCGATTGACCAGAAGAAGTAAACCACTCAGTCTGCTGAAATGAATACTTATGTAAGATCTTACATATATCCCAAACAAACGGACATCTTGAGCGTTCAAATCGGTCATCTTGTTCAACACTTGAGCATTTAAATTATTATTTCTAAATCTGTACTCGCTCTCCATTTTTGTGCAAAACTTTAAGTTCCTGATTCAAAATATTACACATAGCAGAATTTGATGGATAGTCTCCAAAGAAATTAAAATATAATAAGTCCCTGAATGTTCTTTCGTTGTATTTAAATTTCTTTTCGTGAAATTCTTCTTCTTTGTCCACGTCACAAGGTCCCCATGTATCTAACGGCTTCATGTAGTGTTTCATTTTCTACAATTAGAAAGTATAATAAGTTGACAAATATTTTATTTTTAACTAGATAACTACATGTTTAAACAGGATCAAATGATTTTTCATACAAGACTTGAATTTTCTGACACGATCTGTTTAAGGAAATGACAAGCTATTATAAGTAAATTGTCCCGATTGGCCAATCTAGACCTTTTTTATTTTACCCTAGTCAGCAATTATACGATGATACGATGGTGAAAAATGGCACGATGGTGAATCGCAATGGAACGAAGTTGAATTAATAATAGCACGATTGTGAATTCACGATGTTACGATGATGTAATGCGATCGTGCGATATTGAAAACAGAGTATTTATTACATCACGTTTTAACCGTCGTACCATCACGGCATCATACTGTCGCAAGTTCGTGATCGGGTCCTCATACAATCGCGTTTTCACAATCGTGCATCGCGGGCTACGGAACATGGTTCTTAAAACTGCAACTTACCAAAAAATCGTACTTAACGTATTCAAAGCATACACATGAACAATATCCTATTTGTGCGATTTAATCTTTCAATTTTAAAGGAAATCAAATTATACAAAACTGCGCCTGAAATACACTATTTAAAATAACAAAAGACTATTCGAAATAAAGCTTGCCTTCTGTCATTAAAATAAAAGCATCATACTCTTTTAAGGTCGATTTTTATTTTTCAATTCAAAGATCTATATTATAAATATTCACAGCCACTGCCAAAAGAGTACTGAAGTATCATGCACTTTTGACTTTTTATATGCCCTTGTGCGTATGAAAGGTCTGTTATATATAAATAACTCTCGCCTAGCGCAAGGCTAGCGGATATTGTGAAAATAAATTATTACTCTTTCATTCCGGACCATAAACACATCATTGTTCTTTAAAATTAAAACCGGGATAACAAACATAGTCCTAACAAACGGAATGCTATAGAAATTCTGTTATACTCCGTTTTCGTTATACAGTTTCACCAAACAGTAAAAATTGGATCTATGGCACTATCATAATTTGTTTGTTTCATTTTACGCCTTTTCCAAAGAGTATTTCAATCATATAGGCGGGTAGTTTCCTAACCATCGTTCCTTGAGAGTAACAGCGGTACGACTACCTTCCTCCGCAATAAAATACCAAACCATCTCCCGGGGATCGAACCCACGCCAGAGAGGTTACTGGATTAGAATTCATCGACTCTAACCCCTCGACCACGGAAGCGGTTACAACATAATTATACAACATATACGGAAATGAATTCAGGTTTACCTTTACTATTGATGAACCCGGTTTTCTGAGTATATAAAGTGCTTGTGTCAATATAGGCATCATGATTAAGGCTACGATTAGCCAGCCAAGAATGCGTGCAGCTGTCGGGTACGAGTAGGAACCATATTTTGGAGGAATATATTCTACAATACTTGTACAAAATATAACCTGAAAAATATTACAATGTAAGAATAAATTATGTGAAAGAGATTACCGCAATAATTATTGGAGATATAAATTATGTGAAAGAGATAACCGCAATAATTATTGGAGATAAAAATTATGTGAAAGAGATTACCGCAATAATTATTGGAGATATAAATTATGTGAAAGAGATTACCGCAATAATTATTGGAGATATAAATTATGTGAAAGAGATTACCGCAATAATTATTGGAGATAAAAATATGTGAAAGATATTACCGCAATAATTATTGGAGATACAAATATTGTAAAAGATATTACCGCAATAATTATTGGAGATACAAATGCTGTTCCAACTCTCAGCAAAGCTGGTATGGGTCTTCCAATCATCATGATCACATCAGAGTTGAAACGGTCCATACCTAGAAATATATGTAATCTTAGGTTTTCTTTTCAATTTGCCAAGGAAAAAATACAAAAGAAAAATATCGTTTAAATATAAAAATTGCAGATTATGTAATAATGCACTTGCAATAAAAACTTTATGTAAACCACACTCAGTCAAAGCTGTATACAAACTACTACCATGTGAAGGAGGATTTGAATCCTTCCAGGGGCTTCGTATATATTCACTAAAATAGCTACGGAGCTAGCCTTTAAAATGACGGTGACCCTTCTTATGAAATAATGCCCAATGTATGGGGCGGTCTCTAAAAGTGTAAGTTTGGTGCATGGGTGAGTGCGCGTGGGTGTATTGGGGGATGTCTGTGACCTACATCTGTAAAATTGAACAGTTGCATTACAATTAACAACAACATTTGAACTAAAACAGTAAAAAATGTTCTTTAAGCTTTTGTTACAGGAATATCGCAAATGCACTTTTCTTTCGTGCATTAGCATCTGCAAAAGCCCATCGGACTTACTAAATCTATCGCTCTGCAATCTGGGGCTATAAATGCGACTTTCTGCTTCTGCAGAGCTCATTAACCCGCTATTGTATACAAGTAAAAACTTTCAACATTACCGTATATCCAGGCTACCACAACTACTTCAATGAATGCAACAATTGGTCCAACCCAAGCGCCACCATACCAGTCATTCCAGAGAAATATATACGCCCCAGCCTGTATTATAACAACTACGTCTTCGGTATACAGCAGTACAAAATTTATCAAAATCTATACAAAACCAGTTTCCAACTTCTTACTCGCATTTACATAAAGGAGAAAAAAATTCTTTCATTAAGATTTTGTGTATTGCTTTCGCTTTGTTTGAAGCATGGGCACAAGAACATCTTGGTAGATAAGTTAGGGCCTCAGTGAGTTGCTGACTTCAAATCAATGGCCTCTCAACTGATCTCCTTGAGTTTAAATCCCACTTGGGACTATTTATTCTTTCATGTTTGAGGGGGCTATTCATTTAGCTTACGTGCACGGGTGAGTGCGCGTGGATGTGTTTGGGATATCTGTGACCTACATCTGTAAAACTGAACAGTTGATTTTGTATATATTGATATTAAAATCCCATAAAGTTCGAACGAATCCATTATTTATACAAAACAGAGTGAATCCATTACTCAAATTTGGGTTACGCTTTATTTAAAATTGTAATAAGCTTACCCCATTACAAAGCAGTAGAGACACGAGAAATAAAACGAGGCTAACTCCAATCAATACGTAAAGTCGACTTCCGGCCCTGGCACGAGGATAGAGATCTCCAATCAGCTGCATTATCATGTCCAGTGGAATAAGCTAAAATATAAACCACATATAACCTATACCACATATATAACCCATAGATTAATTATGGGATCACGTCATTGCATGTCCGGATATAAAATACCACGTTGTAACAAATACGTGTACTGTGAGTGACAGCAATGAAATTCAATCAACCTTGCTTATTTAGAATTGCTATGCCTTACTTAAAATGACATTATGCCCACACAAGGGTATATGGTAAGTAAACAGGTGAAAGTCAGAACAAGTTTACATTTTGTCAGAATTCCTTGCATGATCACATGGCCCCCAAGAAATATTTAACTAAATATCTATCAGAATTTACCTAAAACGGTCAATTTATAAAAAGAGTGGGGCAGTCTTTTTATATTTAATAAAGGGTATATTTTCTATCCAAAACGTTTTGCAATATCGACTGTTGGTCAATCACCATTATCACAGTCAATCTTTCGAAATATGTTGTCAATTTAATTAAACTTTATAATGAAAATATGAGCATAATGTCACTTTAAAGCCTTACTTTGGTCATATTCATTAGCAAGATACCAAACGGAGTTTCTTCCTGATTGATTAATTGACTTTTTCTTAATAATTAGTTTCAAAATTGAAGTATGCATCAAGTTAGTCTTTTTATATAACATGATTAAAGAATATGTGTCAAAAACTTACTTGCGAATCAACACCAGTTAACAATATTGATATTAAGAATAAAGATGTCCATAATTGCGGAAGCGGAAATGACGTTAAAGCTGTAATATACGCAACCATCCCTGTCGCCATTCCTGAAAGGTTGTCAGATTTTAGATTGAACATCACTAAATACCTTTCTTCCATATTTCAACACAGAACGAACTTTAGTGATAAAATTTAGGTGATAGAGGTATACTTTCTTGCAACAAAAACAGCAGAAGACATTTTTATATGGATTATTTGTCAATGTATTTTCATTTCACTTACTGGTTTTAAAATTCATCCTTCAATTAAATAATTCAAAGCTAGAAAATGTCATTTTTGAATTTTCAAATGAAGAATATACGTACCAGCATTGATGACTTTTGTGACATGAACCCCATAAGTGTGTGCCATATTTCCGAGGACACAGAAACATACCATACCACTGAAAACTGCCATCAGCATATCTATTATTGGTAAAACGATTGCAGTCCTGAAATATATTAAAACTTTTCCTCACAATGGGGAAAATCTAAATAATTAAAATAATGAAAATCACAATCTCTACTTTTAAGAATTAAAATTAATTTATAGTCCTTTAGACGATACAATATTTCCATCGTAAGTCTGACTTTTTTCAGGGTTGATAATTAATCTCGATTTCTTATGTTATAAATGTTTTTGAATAGTATTTTTTATTAACTGTTTCAACAACAATTTTGTTGACCTCTTTAATTGGTAATATATTTATTTCCACATTTTCTTTTACAATTATTTCAATGTAAGGTCCGTGATCGTAAAGGTGTATTCTTTAATCATCTATCCATGTCCTTTTTAGGCAATCTTCACCACAAAGCTATAAAGGCATCTTTAGTATTTTTGTTAAAAGTTATTTTATATAATTTTCTACTTTTAACCTTTGACTTACTCAAAATTGTCTATGGATTTCTACTACATTTCTATATAAGGCGAAGCTCTTTTGCCCTACGCAGATTACGCATGCGCGGGAACATACTACTTTCCATCATTTTTTATATAAACGGACCGCGTCGTAAAAAGGTCTATACAGACAAAAAAGTACAACGATTAGTGGGTCCTTTGGCATCAGCATTAAGCAGTTATTAATGTTCAACAATAAAAGTATTTGGAAATCAATGAAAACTATGACAAAGAATGGGGTGAAGCAGTGTGAATAAGTATGCCATATTTCCGAGGACACAGATACACCCTTTATTTATTATGTAAATACATGTAGATACCTTAAACAGTTATCTTTAAAATCTGCATGAGAGCCTAATAAAAGATTAGCTCCCCAACCGAATGCCAAAGTGTAAAATGCCATGAGAGTAGCTTCAATCCACACCTGAAATACACAAAAAAGAGAATATTATAGTGCTGTAATAAAAACATTGAAAAACACTAATATACATGTAATATAACAACGCTGTACTAGAAACTGATATACACATATAATAATATAATATCGTGTTTTAAAAGAAAACTGAAATGCATAATAAAATACATCAGTCCGATGATAACAACCTTATTTACACAAAATCCGTTGAAATACGCAATATAATAAATTATGATAGTGTTATTATAAAAAATACAAATTTGAAATTACAGTAATACTATAAAAACATTAAATGCACATGATAATTAATAGGCTTGTAAAAAAAACTGAAATATGCATGAATAGTGTACATTTTTTAAGACGCTTGCGAAAAGAAATATTTCGTAACATCCAGACAAGTTGTTAACATAAATTATCATAGGCATACATACAGTTTTAACATAAAATGGCTCTGTGATTTAACGAGCATTTTTATGGGCAGTAAGATATACATATAGCTTAATACCATTAAAATATCAAAATAATAAAATACGCAGCGACCACCGCACGAAAATGTATCATTCAAATGTAAAACAAAGGCATCTTGGCATCTTAGTGAAATAGATATTTCTCAAACACAAAACTTTTTAAAATAAACCATAAGCTTGATAGTTCCTTTCAGGTAAAAAAACTGTAAATTTTAAGTTTAATACTAATGCAAATGAAGTTCAACACTTATACATGTACAATGAAAGTCAGCACTGATTCTATGAAGGTTAACACTGATACAATAAAAGGCAACACTGATATTACATGTATTATGAACGTCAATACTGATAAATTAAGGTAAAAATAAGAGAACAAAAGGTCAACATTGATACAATGAAGGTCAATACTGATACAATGAAGGTCAGTACTGACACAATTAAGGAAAGAAGAAGAAGGTCAACATTGATACAATGAACGTCAATACTGATACAATGAAGGTCAATACTGAAATAATGAAGGTAAATACTGATACAATGAAGGTCAATACTGATACAATGAAGGTCAACATTGATACAATGAACGTCAATAATGATAAAATGAAGTTCAATATTGATACAAGGAAGGTCAATACTGAAACAATGAAGGTCAATACTGATACAAAATGAAGGTCAATACTGATACAATGAAGGTAAATACTGGTACAATGAAGGTCAATGCTGATAAAAATTACGTTAACACTGATAAAAAAATATTATAGTGGTTCAATGAAGGTCAACACTGACCATTGAAGTCGATACTGATACAAGGTAGGTAAATATTGACAAAACACGCAGGTCAATATTGATATTTTAATGAAAATCAATACTAATAAAATGTATATGAATATTACTCGATACACTTTTTTTTATAAAACTAGGTTACTAGTACCTCTTAGTTTATTAAATTATCCAAGGTCGATAAGGTATTCCAACATAAATAGATAAATGTTAAACATTATCTGTCGACGAAGAAAAGAGGTGATTTTTTTTTAGTATAGATATAGAGAAAGAATGCATCAGCCACTTTTTACAATACCTAGCATTACTCGTGGGAATACCCGCGACGCTTGGGGGAGTGATTTATTACCAAGTCCGAAACACCTTAGATATCACGGTATAATACTTCTTTTTGTTCGTTTTCCTGGTAAGAAATTTTGAGTTCTTCTAGAGATCTAGTGATTTAAACCGAGAAACAAAAACAGCCGACCAAATGTTTATTATTATTATTATTGTTTAATTATTATTATTATTATTATCATTATTATTATTATTATTATTATTATTATGATTATTATGATTATTATTATTATTATTATTATTATTATTATTATTATTTAAAAGAGAGAATGACTAGGCAAAGTGTTAAAGTGGAGATAAATGATTGTCAAACCTTTACTTTATTGTAAAATACGTTGGAAAAAAAAACAGAAAAATCATAAGTCTACGCTTCTCCAAAGTTAAGTTATTTTGATAGCATTTTTAATTAAAAAACAATGATGATGATGGTAATGATGATGATGATGACGTCGGCGATGATGCCGAAGATGATGGTGAAGATGATGATGATGATTATGATGACGAAGACGACGCTGTTAATGATGATAATGATGAATAATAATTGTTTTCTGTCATATTCATTCACAAAAATCTTTTCATTTACATAGTTCTGATGCTACCCTCTCATGTGTAACACTTTCTACACCGTAGATATAAAGCGACATTCCGACAATCAAGAATGCGATAAAGAAAGACAGATATATTTTCCGGTGTTGAATTTGACTCGCTTGGAATTATCCTGTTTTTTCCATCAAGTCTGGAATATAATCCTGACCTCATTATGTAAAGACGAATGATAAAGTACATTGTAAGAACAGCTTACAAACGATAAAGTGCATTTTACGAACATTTTTCTAATGATGAATTACATTTATCGAACATTTTACAAACGATAAAGTACATTTTACAAACATTTTACTAATGACGAACTACGTTTAACGAACATTTTACAAACGATAAAGTACATTTTACGAACATTTTACAAAGGATGAACTACATTTAACGAACATTTTACAAACGATAAAGTACATTTTACGAACATTTTACAAATGCTCATTTACTTTTCGCGAACAGTTTGTAGTGATGAACTGCATTTTATGAACATTTCAGGAACGATGAAATTCATCTTTAAGCATTTTGTGAATGATGAACTTGAATTTAAGAAGTTTTTTTTCGAATAATGAACAACATTTTCAGAACATTAAACAATTGTTTAGCTACATTTAAATTTAACGAACATTTAACATTTTACAAACTAAAATTAAAGGACATGTAAAGAAAACTAAAGTTACATTTTACGAACGTTAAACGAACATTTTACAAATATATAACAAAACGACGATTTTACGAGTTATAAGCTACATTTTTCGGGTCACTTTAAGAATGTTGCACTACATTTTTCAACTGACAATCTACATTTTTTCGAATGCTAAACTACATTTTCCGAGTAATGGAATAATGAATTACGTTTAACGACCATTTTATGTGTCAATCATAATTTTTAAGAGCTCTTTACGTATAATGAGCTATATTTTCGCATTAGAAGAACGGCCATTTTATGAATGATTATCTACATTTTACAAAGCTATTTTTTACGAACATTTTACGAGTTATGAATCTAATTTTTCAACTGACAAAATACATTTTAAATGCATTTCACGAGCATTTTCTGAATGATGAACTAAATTTTACGAATGATAAACTACATTTTACGAACATTTTTATAATGATAAACAACATTTACGAACATTTTTGTAATGGTCAGCAACATTTAATGAACATTTTTATAATGATAAACTACATTTTACGAACATTTTTAGAATTATAAACTACATTTTACGAACATTTTTATAATGGTAAACTACATTTTAAGAACATTTTTAAGATGATAAACTTCATTTTAGAACATTTTTAGGATGATAAAGTACATTTTTAGAACCATTTTAGGATGATAAACTACATTTTTAGAACATTTTTATAATGATAAACAACATTTTACGAACTTTTTTAGAATGATAAAGTACATTTTAAGAACATTTTTAGGATGTAAAACTACATTTATAGGAGATTTTAAGGATGATAAACTACATTTTTAAAACATTTTGAGGATGATAAACTACATTTTTAGAACATTTTTATAATGATAAACTACATTTTACGAACTTTTTTATAATGGTAAACTACATTTTACGAACATTTTTAGAATTATAAACTACATTTTACGAACATTTTTATAATGGTAAACTACATTTTAAGAACATTTTTAGGATGATAAACTACATTTTTAAAACAATTTTAGGATGATAAACTACATTTTTAGAACATTTTTAGGATGATAAACTACATTTTTAAAACATTTTAAGGATGATAAACTACATTTTTAGAACATTTTTAGGATGATAAACTACATTTTACGAACTTTTTTATAATGGTAAAATACATTTTAAGAACATTTTTAGGATAATAAACTACATTTTTAGAACATTTTTTGGATGATAAACTATTTTTAAAGAACATTTTTAGTTAAACTACATTTCTAGAACACTTTTATAATGGTAAACTACATTTTTAGAAAAATTTCAGGATGAAAAACTACATTTTACGAACATTTTATAATGGTAAACTACATTTTAAGAACATTTTTAGGATGATAAACTACATTTTAAGAACATTTTTAGGATGAAAACAACATTTTACGAACTTTTTTATAATGGTAAACTACATTTTACGAACATTTTTAGAATGGTAAACTACATTTTACGAACATTTTTAGAATGATAAACTACATTTTACGAACTTTTTTATAATGAAAAATTACATTTTTAGAACATTTATATAATGATAAACTACATTTTACGAACATTTTTATAATGGTAAACTACATTTTACGAACATTTTTATAATGGTAAACTACATTTTACGAACATTTTTATAATGATAAACTACATTTTACGAACATTTTTATAATGATAAACTACATTTTACGAACATTTTTATAATGGTAAACTACATTTTACGAACATTTTTATAATGATAAACTACATTTTACGAACATTTTTAGAATGATAAACTACATTTTACGAACTTTTTTATAATGGTAAACTACATTTTACGAGCATTTTTATAATGGTAAACTACATTTTATGAACATTTTTAGAATGATAAAGTACATTTAACGAACATTTTTATAATTATAAACTACATTTTTAGAACATTTTTATAATGGTAAACTACATTTTAAGAACATTTTTAGGATGATAAACTACATTTACGAACATTTTTATAATGATAAAATACATTTAGCTAACATTTTTAGAATGATAAACTTCATTTTACGAACATTATTAGGATGAAAAACAACATTTTACGAACTTTTTTATAATGATAAACTACATTTTACGAACATTTTTAGAATGATAAACTACATTTTACGAACATTTTCATAATGGTAAACTATATTTTACGAACATTTTTATAATGGTAAACTACTTTTTACGAGCATTTTTAGAATGATGAACTACATTTTGCAACTAATAAACTATATTTCTGAATAGTAAACTACATTTTACAAACATTTTACCAATGTTGAACTACTACATTATAAAAATGATGCATTACATTTTACCATTATTATACGAATTAAATACCGTTTATGACCGTTATATCTGAAATTCTATATTATTAAGACATAGAAGTAGGTCGTAAGTGACATGTTGACACACTACTTGCCTAAGTTATGATATTTATTTTTTCTCGTCTCTCTCTTTTTTATTTTCTGATTAGACTTTATGTGACACAGTAAAGGTAATCTAGCTTTAGTGGGGTAAAAACTTTTTAAGAGCGCAGCTTGTATCTATGGAAGCTCTGGAGGGACATTTTCTGTTAATGAGTAGAACCGCGGATTTTAAGTAACATAATCTGAACGCTTCTTTACAAGAAATACAGTAATACAAAAATTTTAAGAAAAGTAAAAACATTCAAGATCCAAGTTATATTTTACATGCTAAATGCGGTTTAAGACTTATTTTGCAGTATTTTATTACTATAGTTGTACTGCGTTACTTGCGCAGTCAGGGCTAATTTTGCATATGTTGACACCTTTTTAGTAATTTTCTTGGATTGTAAGTGCCGATTGCAATATGTAAATTACTTTTGTTTGTTTTAACAATATTTTACTTTTAAACACATTTTTAAATTTTCATGAAAATTAACATGAAACTGGAGGCGTGCTGCTCTAAAGCGCAAATATATATAATCTATCCTGAAAACAATAACAAATTTCGACCAAGTTACCCTAGCTTTCAGTATTTTGTCGAATTCGGGATAGAAGAAATAGTAGATACCATCCGCTGAACCTGGCAACATCAGAGACCGGATAAATATAGCAACTGTCATTATAAAGGGTACCGTAGCCGTCACATAAATGACCTGAAATAAATAGAAACGTCCCATGTTTTATCACAATTAAATTGTCACATACATGTAGTTCATTTGATAATATTTTGTTATCAAACATATTCTGCATTTGCAATGAGAAATCAGATAGTTAAAAATAATTTCTTGTAAAAATGCAGCGTGACAGATTTCTTAAAAGAAGAGCGATGGTGTCTGCCATCTGATTTGACTGGTTTCCTTTGTTTTCCAGCACTGAAATAATAGCACGATTTTCGCGTCATCTCATTTGGAAAAAGACTGGTAGTCACTAGTAACCATGTAATCTCACAGTGGTCTCACATTGGAAATGAATTAGTTTCCATCCATGCTTTTTACGATTAAATCTCTTGATTCATATAGTAGTAGATGCGTATTGTTTTTATATGCATGAAGGGTCAATGGCCTAGTGGCCAAGCGTGGGAAAATAGCTACCTACTTTTTCAATAGATTTGATACTTTTCCAGCTACCTAGAAGAATCACAAGTCGGAACAGGAACATGTACAGGAAATATCGCAAAATCACGGGCGAGAAATCAGAAACACCTGACGACAGCTGTAGAACTTGGTACCTGCAGTTAATTTACACGAAAACCAATTACATTTCAATTAAAAGTGATCTTTCATTTACATAAAATAATCAAACTGTAAAGATGAAAAAGACAAATTTATACATTCTGTATGGTACAAGCATAAGCAGACGACCATCCGGGGTTGATATAAAATGACTGTGTTCAATAAAAGTGTCATACCATGATAACATTTTTTTTTCTGCTGTAATTATAGATACTATTACTTTTTAATTATAACAATAATAATGGTAAAAAATAATAACTTACTGTAGGATCTAAATGACAAAGGCATTAGAAACGGACAAACATGTATATTAAATTCAGTAATCGTCACTTATTGTATAAATGGCCTTTAGGTAATAAACCTTTGCTCTTGTGTAGAGCTAATAATTTTGTTAGATTTTAGGTAAATGTAGTGTAGCTGTGTAAAGGTGTTTTCATTAGCTAGAGCTACAAAGAATCAGTAACTCACGTGTTTCTGGAATATGTCTCATGGCCGCAGTAGTCAAAATATTTTGCTAATGGAATGATACGCATGTTTTAAATAAGCAAAACGGGGGAAAAGTACAAATACCGCTCTTCGAGGACATTTATTATCATTTAGACCCACATTTTGAGGACATTGTTAGAATAAATGAGAGCAGAATTTAATTGACAAGGCGAGAGAAAGAGAGACGGATAAAAACACTTACTGCCAAAATTCCTCAGCAGCCGACATCGGTGTCCCTGAAATACTTGTAGCAACTACTGAAACATTTGTAGTCACGTTTGTATAAGCTGTTGAAACATCTGTACTGTTACTATAAATACTTATATTGGAGAAGGTTGTCGACAACGATGTGTCTGATCCATTCGTCTCGGTGTTTACCAAAGCCGTATTGTCCTTACAAAATGGCGTATTCCATTCGTTGTTACAATGACTCCAGGGTATAGGCTCTCGGACGGCAAATACGATGAACTCAATAATCCAGCAACGGAAAATACTTGAGCCAATCATGTACAGTCCGTATGCTACGCTCACCGCCACACCAACACCTGTGTACACACAAAAATTCAAATTGGATAATTATAAAGTATATACCCGAATCAAATTTAATAACTTTAATAAAATTTTTAAGATAAACTTAAAGGTAAAAACTGCAAACACATTAATCGAATAATTTATCTGCTCTTCAACTGACTGGTTGAGGAATGAACCACGTGCTCCGTCTTTAAATTATAGAGGTGAATATCTGCCAAAAGTATATGTTTCTTGGTGACAAGTTTATATCACAATTTTACTTATACATGTATGTTGCAGGTCTCGACACTAACTTTTTCAGCAGGTGGTATGCCGGACCACTGGATCCAAAATTTAGGTGGTCCTTTCTGAACAAAGGTGGTCCATCTTTTTTTTACTCATTTGTTTTTTAAGGAAACTCCAGATTTAGAAGAACTACACTTAAAATTGGTGACAGAGACATATTTATTATTAGATTTATAACAACTGAAGAAAACATGTATAATTTCTATCTCAATTTTAGATCAGATAGTAAGTCATTGTAATCCTATTTAGTATTTATTATCTCAGTGAAAAATACATGACAGTACTCATACTTCGGTTAAGTGACTTCTTCCGCAACTCAAGTTAATGAATAGTGAAACCATTTGTGTATGACTAATTTCCTTACTGTTATTCAAATACTCATTGGTGTTTCCTGGTACATCTGATAAGAATAATTATTGCTTTTTATATATTAACATTTTTAATTAAACTATTAAGTTATTATTTTCTTGTCTTTGAAACAATGAAATATTATTGATAAACAGAAAAATTCCTTCATTATAATTGAGCTTATCTTCCTCACAGATTTATTATACATGCTTGTTTGTTGAAATTTATTTATTTTTGACAAAGTATTTATAACCTTTTAAAGTACTTTAAATAAGAAAAAATGGATCTCTGATTGTTTAAAAAAGTAGCCAAAGATTACTAGATATTTATTTTTTCCTTTGCCTTTGTTTGCACCATTATTCATGTGTTTATCGGATATCCCAGAGTGATACAATGTTATAAATTCAATGCAATACAAGAGACATTTGAATGAATTTTATACTTTAATTATTAAAATAATTTTCTACTTTTTTAACTACACTGTTAGCGAGTTAATAAAAGGTTATGGATGTCTTAAGATCTTTTTGAACTTATGAGATGAATGAACATATACCTGTTCATCGGAGAAATGGTTTAAAACGACAATTATAGAACACGTTTTTCGACCAAATAACCATTCTCCTAGATGAGCCCTGCACCATTTAGAAAATTCAAGTGGTCTAACGGACCAGTTGCCTGTAAAATTAGGTGGTCCTTGAAAAAATCAGGTGGTCTCGGACCAATGGACCACCGCTAATGTCGAGGCCTGTGTTGATTGTAATCTTATTCATACATATTATATTTTCTTTTATCTATGTATATTGATATACATATAAGAATGCAAAATTTCAAATGCAGGCATGTCAATATAAGGAATAGTAATGAAGATTGTTACTGCAAAAATTGTATCATTGCTTTTGATTTAAGTCTTGTGCAAAATGACAATTGTGTATTAAGAGGATTTTTTTTCGTTTAAGTGAAATATGGAATATATTTATACGAAACATGATAAAATGCCACATATTTTCACGAGCCGGGACCGGATAGTTCAGTCGGTACAGCCGCGATACGGTTTTCCGAGGGGGCCAGGTTCGAGTCCGGTTAGGCTGCACATTTCTCTCACCCTGTGACTTATAAACTTGATAGATCCTTACTTTGACCTTTGATTTGAATAACAATAAATTTACCCAGAAACATTGACATGTGCTCTTTTGTTAACAAATATGTTATGGTGAAATTCTTATTTTATCCACTAATCTGGGATCCATGCATAACGAACACGGCTTATTTTATTTTACTCTAAAGTCTATAGTAGTTATGATGGCGCGCGTAACGATATAATTTCGTGTTTAGTCTTTCATGCATAAAGTTCTTGTTCTTAAGTCCGTTCTTTATATAGTATTTATTTTAATATTTATTTGTATGTGTTTTTCACTAAACTTCGTGCCTTTGTTCCGTTTAATGGTACTTTTATATGTAGTTGTTGTGAAGGATTTTGTTACTCTGTTGTCTATCAGTGTTTATTATTCCATATTACCGGTATTTTATTTTATTGTCTATTTGTTATTTGCTGTTATTTTACCCATTTGCATTTTCCGCGAGTTCTTCTCATTTGTCGTGAATTGTTTGCTAGTTTTAGTGCCAATGTTTTCATTCAGCACCTTGCTATTTGTCCTGTGAGAAGATGTTGGACATTCCGTAACGTCTCTTTTATCTGTCTTTGTGTGGATTAGCGAGTATCTGTTCGATACCAACCTCTTGATTTGTACAAGTTTTTTTCTGTGTGTATTGCTTGTATATATTGTTATGTCTCTTATTTTCTCTTCCATTGTTGGACGTAGTCATTCTTTGTTTTCTGTTTTAGTTTACAGTAATTCGTTGTTGTCTGGTAACACTTTCCGCCTACCAATTAAGTCTTTTTTGTTTTTTGTAGCGTAGTTTGTGCTGTTATGTATGTTAGGACTGTTATACATGTATGTTCTTTCAAGTTCTTTACTCCGTTACGTCTTTGTATGTTTGCTGTGTGTATTTGTTAACATGTTCCGTAGCTTTTTTGTATGTTCCGTTTATTCCTTTTCTGTATGTATTTTTTAACATATTCCTTTAATTCTTCGATATCGGTCTGCTGTGTTATCGGTCCTTGTTTCACTTCTGTTATCGGCCCTAGTTGCCTGTTCACTTTCCATTCCCTTGTATTGCCGATGTCCCTGTGTCTGGTTCCATTAAGTCCCATTACTTTGTTCCGTTTCTTGCCATGCAAGTATATGTTTTTATTTTCCGTTTCCATCCGTTTTTGTAGAACGTTTGCTGTCTGTTGTGTCATGTCTCTTCTTCTTTTCCGTTCGTTGTTTTGAATTGAATTCTGGTCAGTTGAGTCTGTATCTGTTTGCTTTTGACCGATTCGTCTCTATTTGTATGTTTTGTCAGTCTCTAGAATTCCATATGTTCTGGTTTTGTCAGTCTTGTAGTCATTTCATTCTTTTACTGAAGTAGCGGGGGATCGAACTCACGACCCCTTGATTGGTAGGCTGATAGTGTTACCACTGCACCATAGCGCCCGCTCTGAATAATAGCTGTTTTTGAAAAACCTATATACACTATTACTTCAATGGCGAACAATAAAAATGTATTGCAATTAAATTTTAACACCTCTATTTAGGTAGCCAACCCACGTGACATTTTACGTCGAGGAGAAAATTTCTCGATTTAAGAAATATCTGTATAGATGACTTTGTTTACTTTAAGACACCTTGGAAATTTAGTTGGGGGTACAGATAATCCGAAAGTATATCAGATGGTGTAATAACCTTCTTGTAGAATTTTTAATAAAACTGAGACTGAATTCCGAAATTTTCAAGAGCTGCTATGGTAATGCAAGCACACGTATCAATTTCAGACATTCAATGCAAATAAACGGGTTAATTTGCATAACAAAATGTTTTAAGTTCCATTTGAAGCTTTTCATTGAATCCAATTTGATGATAAAAGAAAATGATATGATCGTTTACACTGCAATATAGATTAAAAAAATGTGCAATGAAGCAATATCATGTATTCGCAATTTGCAATGTTTTAATTTTATTTAATAAGGAGCAATGTGCAATAATATAGGAGTATACACACAGTTTGAAATATTCACAGTACAGTAAGCAAATCAATGAATAAGAATACAATCAACATACATGGATTTGTAACATTCAGATATAAACATGTCATCAAGATACATATAATTATGACGAACATTCCTCGTCATATTTTAGTCACGGTCGTTTTAACATTAAATTTTATATATTTTAGCACTAGCAAACATTCTGCATTGTCAAGCGATGTCACAAAGACCATCATATACATATGCATACAAGCCTTTGTGTCGGATGGGGGTAAACTTTATTCAAACTTGCACATACATTAATTTAGTGTATTAACAATATTGCTCACCTCTGAATAAAGGACTTATGTCCCAAAGTTGATATGCTCCCCTCCCAGAAAATTTTGAGATCGAGTATTCCAAGAAATACATCGGAATTCCGCAGACGACAATCATAATGACAAATGGTATTAGGAAAGCTCCTGAAAATATAAAACGTAGTAATACATAATCATTTAAAGTGTCCCTTCTAAACAGAATTTGGTTATATAGGTAAAACCAGCCCGGAAATGTTCAGATTAGTGGTTGTCTGGTTGGTTGAGTTTTGGCTTGTCCGACTGATTATTCTTTTGATTAGTGCAGTGCATTGGTTGGTTGGTTGGATTGATGCATGGATGGATGCATGCATGGATGAATGCAGGCATGGATGGATGCTTTGTGAGTGGTTAGCTGGCTGGCTGTCCCTTTTCTTCATATTTTAAATACATATAAATAAGTTGTACTGTAGGAATCTGGAAACAAAGTGATCCCTTTGGAAGCATTAATCACAGCAAAATTACAAGAGAATTGCAGACTCGGTTTGTTTGAGTCTGTACATGAGGGATAATGAATAAGTGCAACATCCCTTACGCCCCTTAGCACCGGCTCGACCGGTACTCACTGCTCAACACTTAATAGTGCTGGCACCAATGATCCCGAGGGACCAGAAAAGTATAACAACACTTAAATAAATTGCTTCAAATAAATTTAAAACGTACACTTTTACTACAAAGTATATGAATGAGCCTAATAAAGACCAATACAATCTCACAATATTAGGAGTTCTTTATGCACATAAGCACTAAGCTTTCCTCAATGGCGGAGCAATCACATTTTGTATATTTATTTCACTTCATTATCTTCAAAGTCTTTTAATTCGTATGTATAAATTTTTTAATGTATGTTACTAGTATGCTTCCATTACCTATTATTATTTCAATGGAAGCTCCTTTCTTGCAAGCGGCTTATTTAACAAGAATGACAAAGAATGTTGGCACGTAAAGTCGTCATGGAAACATTATGTCTGTTAGTATTTGTCACAGGTTCATTATGCACATGGCACCGCTTCAACACACTTTCCGACATAAATGTATTACAAAGTCATAAATAACCGTTCCTATAATTAACCATCACAACAAACATTATTATAATTTGCATACTGACAAAGTTGAGTGGCAGTTCAATTTGTAATGAAGAACTAATACATGAAGTAGTAAGACTTCAATTAAACTAAAGGGCAATAATCACATTTTCTGCACACGTGTTTAATGATGACTTGTTTGCTGAAAGTAAAACGTTATCAAGAAAATATGTCATATGATGTGCGCTTTGACAACTAATCTGCGATTCCCCCCACCTAAATTTACTCCTGTTCGTCCTCATTTTGCTTCCAGTAAACCTTTGTCTGTAAACAATCAACGGATAACAAACTAACTTAATACACCGGTTAACTTTATTGAACCTAACTGTCCTCAGACTCCTGAAAAGTTGTTATCATTTTTCATTTAAAATTCGATACTTTTTTGACATTAGAACATCAAAGCATGTGATAAAATACCGCACCACAGAACCGGCGTCAATGACAACATTTATGGGTCGTTTCACTCGTTTCCTTTTTCTCAAACAGAAACCTGAGAACACCATTCAGTGAGTATGCTCCAGGAAAGTAGTTCTATTTAGTTTAAATAATTACTACGCATACATGTATTATGTTTAATATCTAAAATGCTCAATTTAAAACTGTTATATTTAAGGAACATTAAAGGAATACTTGCGTACAAAAAGAAATCAACCATCATTTGTAACATTAATTTTTGGAGATGAGATGACAATAATAAGATGTTCTTATACACGACCTTTCATTATCCGTAACATTTATCGTTATCATTATCGCCTTTCCCTCTTGTCGTCTCGTCGCTAACGAAACGCACCAAACGGCGTGTTGTCGCACTGCCGTCTTGTCGCTAGCGAAGCACGCCAAACGGCGCGTTGTCGTGCGGCGCGTTGTCGCCTGTCGCAAATCCTTTGATTTGAGCCGAGCGACAATGTGACATCGCGACAACACGCCGCATGACAACGCATCGTTTGGCGTGCATCGTTAGTGACAGGACGACAGACGAAAGTCCGACAACGCGCCGTTTGGCGCTTTGTCGTGCTGTCGTTAGCGACCACACGACGCACAAAAGTGTTCCAAATCAGCCACAATACGAAAGTCTTATTACTACACTTTTCAGACATTTATCATTGATTTAAAAGGAAAAAAGCAAATATTTTACGCAATGAGGTGAGCTGACCATAAAGTGACATTTAGGCTGTCCATCTGAAGTTCAGTACTTTGAATTTGTCAAAAACATTATATCTATAAGAAGTAAACAATACCTCCGCCGTTCCTTTTGAGCAAGAATGGAAATCTCCAAATATCCGACATTCCAAGAGAATATCCGAGTAATGTCAAATAAGTGCTAAATGTAGACGAAAATTTATTTTCTGAATTTACCGCCATTTTTTTCCTTTCATCCTCCGGAGATGAAAACGTATCTTCTGGCATGTTTGTTTTTTCTTTAAGAGTCATTTGAATATATTTGATTTGTTATCTCATATAGCCAACCTTATTTAAGGCGACACTCGCGTATTCAATTGACAAAATTTATACAAAACATTATAAAATATAGCTCTAGAAATATTTCTAACATTTCCAATCTGACCACAACGAGTATTATTATTATATACAGCTCATTAATATAGGTTTAGTAGGACATACCTTATAAAAAGAAACAGATAAAAGTCACGACCTTTGTAAAAAATAGTAAAATTATACAATTGTCTCCCTAACTCGTTCATTTACATGAGTTATTCGGTCACTGATGATTCCGCAATCTGTCTGTATGACACCTGTCCACGCAGTTATTCACTTTTTATTGCTAAAGATGAACGTTTTATTTAATAATTTGTTTGTAAGAAAAAAAAAGATGAAAAAATAACTCACGGCGATAGAATTGCGTACACATCGCTTAAATTAATAAATTAATATCGAAATCTGTAAAATCTCACTGATCATAGTATAAAGTAATTACAATAATTAATAACAATGATGTTCAACAGTAAGATGTTGCGGAAAATTCGGATGCACTTTCTATATACGATGCTACGCATTAACAGGTATACACATTAACACGCATCATAATTTAGGATCACGCTTCAATAAGCTAAAAACTATCTCATTTCACAATAGTTAACTGAAAATTCACAATTGACAAATTGTATTTATTGACAAAATTTACACGACTTTAAAGCATAACCCCACCACCCCCGTCCCCCCGCCCCTCCCCCCTCCCCCAAAAAAGAGGTATACCATCCGGATTTAGATATGTGATCATTTTAATTGGTAAAACCATCACATCTTTATTTTTTTACCCTAGAAATATTAATAAAACTGCAAATTTATTTTAATTCAAAAAAATTAAACAGAAAATTATAATCTGACCAGACAAATACAAAGTAAAAAAATATACTGTAAACTAATTAAAAAAAAAACAACTTTGCCCTGAGTAGGGTTTGAACACACGCCCCATGGAAAATTTTGTTTTTTCACTGAAATTGAATACTTTTGAGAAAGGCAGATGTGCATAAGACATTTAGTACCTTAAAAATATATTATCATACAAACGATAGATGTAACTATTGTCGATTCGCGTTTCTGTTTGTACCTTTTTGCACTAAATATATTTATGTCAGTTTTGTAGTAGAACAAAAATACTTACCTGTCAAAGAATAACTGATAGCGCGTTACAATGGTTACAAGCTTTGCGTATTATACGTTCTCTTTTTGACATTAATTGCAAAGATTTCGCTGAAATGTTACAAACAAACTCATGCGCAGATCCCGAGGTTTTACTATTTTGTCAGAAAATATAACATCGAGTTTCGGATATTGAGTTAGTATATATTTAGAAATTTCCCCTTAAATGATAAATGATTTTGTCCAGTATCAATGAGATGGACAAGTCTTTTTAAAGTATTTAGCATATTCAGGGATAAAGAAAGACTTAACTATGAAGTGTGTATACTTGCATGGGGCTATGAAACGTATTTTTACACGTAGTATTACGTCAAGCATGACGTCAATAAACAAAATGACGTATGGTGAATTACTTCTCCGTTGAAATTAGTTTTACAATTAGCAATAGATTGATTTCAATAAAAATATTAGAATTATAGATATACTTTTCTTACATTACATTAATAATTATATAATATTTCATAAGCTTTTTAAGTACACGTTGTCTCTCATGCATATTGTTAAATCTGATTAAATCACGCACCTGAACCCGATCAAAATCTATTTCATAAATACGCAGAATATCAAAGCTTTGTTATTTTATGAGATTCATCTGCTTTCTTTTTCACCATCTGTTTAAAGCATTCAGGTCATGATTGTTTTTTCTATGGGGTCATATATTTTACAAATTCTAGATAATCAAGGAAGAAAAAGTGGAGAAGTATATCTTCATCTCAACATGGTGCCCAGGTAGGATATGATAAATAAAACGATGATTTGTTTGGCATTCAAGCAAATACTAGGCTACTGATGACAGTGCGCTTAAGAACGTACATTCTAGGAGAAACATTAATTTTTGGAATGCTTAGGAAGTGCACGTGTTTTGTCTCACTGAAATTGTCCCAATACACAAATTGGTTGACTTGAGTACCTTTCGTACCACTCCAATGCACTTAATTTAGACATTTTTCTAGGTGAAAATTTTGCTGTTTTATTAAAGGATCAAAGATAAATAATTAATGACCTATAGATTCAATTGTTGCTTTATTTTGGCCATCAATTTGTTAAGAGTGAAACAAATGACTGACTGACTGACTGACTGACGGACGGACGGACGGACTGATAGTTGGATTGATGGATCGACGGATTATTTACAAGCTGATCATTGGCCTATTGATTGATTAATTAATTAATAATTTGCTTATTAATGGCTTAATTGATTGCATTTAAGTGATTTGCTACATGGCTTGTTGTTTGCTTGATATATTATGTTATTGACATTGCTGATAAATAAGTTATGTACATTAGGTTTTTGATTAGTTAATTATGTTATTGTATGTTCAAAAGTTGATTGATTGATTGATTGATTGATTGATTGATTGTTGATTGATTATGTTAGTGATATGTTCAACGGCCGGTTGATAGATTAATTAATTAATTAATTATATTATTGATATGCTTATTGGCTTTTTATTGGTTAATTATGTTATTGAAAGGCTCAATGACTGATTGATTGATTGATTGAATATTTTATTGAAATGCTCATCGATTGACTGATTGATTGTTTGGTTAATTGATTGATTGTGTTTTTTGTATGCTCAATGGCTGCTTGATTGATTGATTGAATATGTTATTGAAATGCTCATCGATTGACTGATTGATTGATTGATTGGTTGGTTGGTTGATATATTGATTGACTGTGTTATCTGTATGCTCAATGGCTTATTGATTGATTAATAATGTCATCTCCTTGTTTATACAGCTCAAAATCATTTTTTATTCCTGTAAAGATTACTATTACCACGGAGTTTCTATGAACTTTCATATCCATATGTTTTGTACCGTAATATAATAATATATAATACTGCATGTGTTTAAAAGTTCAAACTGATGTTTAAAGTACCAGTTGGTTGAATTCTTTAAAGTACAAGGTTGTCATATTTTTATTAATAACGCAGACGCAGACACAAAAAGTCATGTTGCAGGTTATTGCGAAGAGATATTGAGTTGTACGGTATACTCTAAATATTCAATCTGAGAAAAAACACATTTGTATATTAATCAACATTAATTTATCAATATTTTGACATGCTATATGTGTCAATGTAAACGTTTGTAGTCTTATGTTATATAACCCAGACTGATATGTAAGTAATATATGGCAAACAACAGTTTATCAATGGGCATATAACCCGCAAAAATGTTTAACAGCGAACACATGATATTGTGCAAACGATTTTCTGAACCTAAATTAGATAAATATATATATGCTTATAAAGTATCCGTTGAATAAGCAAACTCTCCCCTCCCCATTGCTAATGCAGATTTGAAAAAAAATGTTTCACCCCCCGTATTATCTAGTACCACAAACATTTCAAGGTACCACAAAGCAGTTTTCGGGAGTCGGGGTATATCGAGTACACTTTCAAGGTAACCACCAAGGGGGGGGGCAGGGGGGCTGGGGGGCAACAAGTAGTACCCGAGAAGACAATAACCCCAAACAAACACATTATAAATTCATCTGTAAACTAAACAAGAGGGCCATGATGGCCCTAGATCGCTCACCTGACTTATCAAACTCATCCAAAACAATTACCTAGACAAGCATTCTGACCAAGTCTCATGACAGGTGAGTCAAAAATGTGACCACTACAGTATTAAAACAAGGATTATCCATATTTGAGCAGTGCGCCCTAGTTTTTTACCCTGGTGACACATATTCAAACTTGACCTAGAAATCATCAAAAACAAACTTTCAGACCAATTTCCAGGATACTTGGATCAAAACAGTAGCAACTAGAGTGTTAACAAGATTTATCTATTTTTAGCTCCGGTGACCTAGTTTCACATGCGATTTCGAACTTATCCAAGCAATTACCTAGACAAGCATCCTGACCAAGTTTGATGATAACTGAGTCGAAAATGTGACCACTAGAATGTTAACAAGGTTTTTTCCATATTTGGGCGGTGTGACCTAGTTTTTCATCCAACATGACCCATGTTCGATCTTGACTTAGAAATCATCAAAACAAACTTTCAGACCAATTAACAGAAAATTTGGATCACAACAGTAGCCACTAGAGTGTTAACAAGGTTTTTCTATTTTTAGCTCCGGTGACCTACTTTTTCGTCCGAGATGACCCATGTTCAAACTCATCCGAGCTGTCACCTAGACAAACATCTTGACAAAGTTTGATGATGACTGATGCAAAAATGTGACCACTAGAGTGTTAACAAGGTTTTTCTATTTCTAGCTCCGGTGACCTACTTTTTCATCCAAGATGACCCATGTTCAAACTCATCCGAGCTATCACCTAGACAAGCATCTTGACCAAGTTTGATGATGATTGATGCAAAAATGTGACCGCTAGAATGTTTACAAGGTTTTTCTATTTTTAGCTCAGGTGACCTACTTTTTCATCCGAGATGACCCATGTTCGAACTCATCTAAGCTATCAACTAGATAAGCATCCTGACCAAGTTTGATGACGATTGATGCAAAAATGTGACCGCTAGAGTCTTAACAAGGTTTTTCTATTTATAGCTCCGGTGACCTAGTTTTTCATCCGAGATGACCCATATTCGAACTCATCCGAGCTATTATCTAAACAAGCATCCTGACAAAGTTTGATGATGATTGGTTCAAAAATGTGACCACTAGAGTGTTCACAAGGTTTTTCTATTTTTAGCTCCTGTGACCTAGTTTTTCATCAGAGATGACCCATGTTCGAACTCATCCAAGCAATTGACTAGACAAGCAATCTGACCAAGTTTGATGAAGATTGGTTCAAAAATGTGACCACTAGAGTGTTCACAAGGTTTTTCTATTTATAGCTCCTGTGACCTAGTTTTTCATCCGAGATGAGCCATGTTCGAACTCATCCGAGCTTTCAACTAGATAAGCATCCTGACCAAGTTTGATGATGATTGAGGCAAAAATGCGACCGCTAGAGTGTTCACAAGCAATTGTGGACGTACGACGGACGACGGACGGACGGACGACGGACATTCACCGATCCTAAAAGCTCACCCTGAGCAAGCTCAGGTGAGCTAAAAACTAAAAAATATATTGTCAGGGGAAAATATGTATATATATCTA